TACGTCCGCCTCAAGTGGTTGAGGAGGAGAAGATGGCGGAGGCATGGGGAGAACGGGCAAAAGGTCGCCAGAACCAGCATGATCAGCAAAGTTGAAAATGGTTGTGTCGAAGTCCGGGAGGGAATCTTCCATACCGGCATCCTGGAGGGTAGCGGAAGTCAAAGTATCCGCTGTAGGAATCCAAAAGAAATCGGTGATCGCAGCCATGTCTTCGTCATCGAGGTCAACATTCCCATTGTATTCCATTGGGATGTCTAGATTTTCCTGAAGCTCCCGCGGGACAGCGGAATGCGAAGCCAAGAAATTGTCTTTTACTGACCTTTAGACTGACCCCATTTTGACATCACCCGGGACGCTTGATGGTTTGACTCGGTAAATGTGTGGTAAGATTTTGACTTGACCCAAGGGTCAAACCACTGACGCGCGCTTCAATTTCCGTTGAACCTCGTCCAATTAGAATTTCTGTCTGGGTCAAGTCAGACTGACGACTTGTTTTGATTCAAGGTAGGAGTTCGACTTGACCTCAGCTGCGGGTTATTGGCTTGCGCTTTACATGCAGTTGTACTTCGAAGTCTAGTTGGTAGTAACTGTTGACATGCAGACAACCAAGCCCAAGCACCGAGAAACAGAGAGAGGATAGGCACACAATGACAACAGAAGGGTAGTTTCTTGGGGATTGCTTGGTAGCTTGAAGTCTTGCTGCTTGCTGGCACGAGGCGAATGAAGCAGGAGGAAGACGGTGATGCAGGAGAAGGACATGAGATGGGGGAGAAAGCAAGAGAGAGGCCCCGTGAAGCTCCACCAAATGGTTGTCTCGAAAAATCCCCAAATCCGGCCTCAAAAAGCCACTCGTTGCTGACATTTGCGGCCTTAAAACTTAAAGCCACTATTGGACAAGGGTCATCACGTGCACTTCAAATCAAACTAACAACTACATATATACCAGTTCGAGTTGAGTTCAACCCGGCGCATTCACAAGTAGACTCAAACTCACTTACCTTTCTCTCCTTGCAACACTACATTGCTTCCATGGAACGAATGCTCGAACCACTGACTTCAAGTTCAACCTTAGTCTCGGGATTGATTCTGGCTCCTTCGATTCAACAATCTGAGCTGGAAAGAACCAAAGTTTCAGCCCGGACCAGCTTCAACTTGAAATCTCAAGTTCAGTTGAACTTTTGTAAGTCCGTACACATTCGAGTTAATTCGGGTACTTACTTATCCTCAGACTTCCGTTCAACATCTATCTCGACGTTCAATTCAAGATACGCTTCCCCGAAGCGTGGGTTCCAATAACTGTATTACAAAATCGATGCCGACCTCCGTGAGGCCCAAGTTCCAATACTAAGCTCCGAGTTGACATTGTACGGTTCAATACCGTGCTATTGTGACAGGTTAGTGATTTTTCAACCACTTCCAGTGAATTTCCGCTGACCACTTTACAGAATACCCGCTCGAATTCAATCAAGTCCGAGTTTCATTCGAACCGACCCACTTCAAATTTGAATGTATGTCCTTGAGTTTTGTAGCCTTGACAAGTCCCAACTAACCCCTTCATTTCTAGACTCCTCGCTACATTTTCAACACACTTCTTTGTATTCTGCAGCCCTTACCTTTTGCTCAGTACACGATTTGACTTACCACTCGAGTAGAGATTGACAGCAATAATTTTGAATACACTCAGCGGCGCATTTGGGGACCCCGAGAGCCCCGCCAACTCGGAATTTGAATGCGCCCTTCGCGCTGATTCAGTCTACTTGAGATACTCAGTAACTAACGATCCGCGCACACATCTCTATGCAAAACCAATGTAAACCTTCCAATTTTCTATTGCCCCGCGGACGATTTTCCTGACCTTCGAGTTCCAGAGCTGCCCCATTTTTTTGAATACACTTCAACCGCGCATTTTCGATTTGCGCACCCGATTATGCAAGCCCGAGATCCCCGCCGTCTCCATATTTCAACGCAGTTTTGGTGCTCAGTGAGTCCATTGGGTTCTCGGGGACTGGGCTAACACCCCGCGCAGATCTATGCAAAACCAATGTACGCCCTTCGAATATTCTATCAATTGACCCACGTACGATTTTACTGGCCTTCGAGTTGCACACCCCAATACTTTGGTGCACACACTCCAGCGGCGTCCCGGGAAGCCCTGAATGTTAATCGCTATTTTTTTTTTGCACTCCGACTCTGCGGGGCTCTATATTGACTCTATAGCTAAGTAAGAAATCCTTCATTTTTTTCTTACCCGCGTGCGATTTACCGACCCTTCGAGTCTATAGGGTTTATTATCGACTGCGTGCGGCGTGCGGCGGGGACTCATTAGATGGAGAGATAAGGAGTAAGGAACTAACAGAGGGGGTAAGTAGATAGGTAAGGGGACACGCGCTGGGGCTCTGGTAAGTAAGGGAGGTAAGTGGAACGCGGCCGCCAGCGCTTCGGCCATGTCCCCGAGATGCGGCGCGCAAGGCGGGCTTCGTGCGCCCGAGAACGCGCCGAGGCGCAGCGCAAGGCCGGTGTCGTGCGCACAGCGCAAGGCGGGGCCGGCGCGCGCGTACCCCGCCGACCCGACAACAGGAACCGCGCGCGTCTCTCCGCACGGGGTCCTGCGTCGCCGGGCACGGACCCGCCTCCTCGCGTTCTCTGCCTGCAGTAGAGCCCACCACAAGCCGCACACGCACGCCGTCCCTGCGCGCGCGGCATGCGGCGTCGCGTCGGTGCGCTTGATGCGCCCGTCGTGCAGTCTTGCGCACGGCGCTCTTCGTGCGAGGTCCGCGCGCCTCCCCCGGAACGATGATATCCGCGAAGCACGTCGCGCCCCTCCCCCTCCCTCCTCCCTCAACTCCTTCATTTCTCGCGGCACCACCAGCGGAAGAGAGAAGAGACGAGGCGGGGAGGAGGACTATATCATATCAGATGGTTAGCCGTGGATACACGCAAAAGAACAAAAGAACAAAAAGGACGAGATAAGAGTAGGCAATACTCACAAGGCACACCCCTGCTCCCCCGGCGTCCCGCACCCCGCGCGCGGCGCGAAGAACGCGGCCGTCGAGGGCGGGGACAGCGCGAAGGGGGTCGGGTCCGTGAGGTGCGTGTTGTTCCACATCTGCTTTATGTGGACATTAGATTTGACTTGCGGGGCGGAGCGGAAAGGAAAAGGGTGGGAGATGGTGGGTGGGGAGGATATGGAGAAGGGAAAAGGGGGAAGGGAAGTAGAGAGGGAAGGGTAAGGAAGACGCACCCGCGTCAGGCGCGAAGAGCGGCTGCGTGTCGAAGACGACGCGCGGCTCGTCGCGCCCGGTGATGAGGAGCGTCATGTCCGGGAGGGCGGATGCGAACTGCGTGCGGCGAAGGGGGGTGTGAGTACGCTTCGCATAAAACCGAGGGAGATAGAGTACAAAGGGGAGACGCGAAGAAGCGAAGGCCAGGCGAGCGTCGCCAAGAAAATAAAGTGGAGAACGAAGAAAACGCGCACACACCTTCCCGATCGTCGCCTCCCAATCCCCGTCAAAGTACGACCCCTGGTACGTCGCCCTTTGCACCCTCCCATCTCGTATGCGTAGCGCGCTCATCCCGTGCGCGCTGCGCCCGTCGCGTTCGTCCGCCGCGAGGCGCGCCGCAAAGGCCTTTACTCGTTCGTGGAACCACCCGCTTCCACTCGCACTTGTATTAGGAGAGGGAGAGGTAGAGTTGAGAGGAGAGGCAGAAGAAAGCGCGCGCTCGACGGCCCAGAAGGGCGCGAAGTCCGCGCGCGGCCGGCGTACGCGTCGACGAGGCACCCTCTCTCCTGTGCGAACGCGAAGAAGGCGTCGAACCCGCGTGGCGGGACGCGCCCCGTTTTGAGGCTGTAGCGCGCGCGCGCGGCGGCGAGGGTGGCGGGCTGGGAGGTAAGGAGGGCGGAGACGGCCGCGTCCGTTGTGTTGCTGTCCACGTGGAGAGAGGAAGGCGGGGAGAGGACGGCGGGGCATCGGCGTCGGGGACGTCGAGCGGCGCGTGCGCGCCCACATCCACCGGCGGCGGGGGCGGCGGGTGCCCGTGCCCACCGTGCCCAGCCCGAAGGCAGGCCGCGGCGGCGGGGGGTAGTACCCCGCGAGGTGCTCCGGAATCGGGAGCTCGGGCAGGCCGACGGCGGGCCCGAGGAGGACGGCGAGCGCGAGGAGGGTGAGGACGCCCGCTGCGAGGAGGAGGAGCGCGCGCGGGCGGCGGAGGGGGTGCCGCCGGTGGTGCGAGGACTGGAACGAGGACGGGGACGACGCTTCGGGCGAGGAGCAGGCGGGCGACGGTGCTGGCGGGGTCGTAGGGCATAGCGTAGGGGAGAAGGAGAAGAATGTGGAGAAGGGCTGTGGGAGCGGCTTGGCATCACGGCGACCTATCCTCGCTTGCGTCTTACACGCGGAACTTTTTTCTTTCTTGCGTGTGGCGAGTCTGCGTCTCTCAGGTTCTCACAATGCATGAATGAGCCTCGTTTTCAATTGGCCTCATTCTCTTCCCTCCTTGTTTTTGGGCGAGAGGTTTTTCGACGCGTGCTCCGGCAACTCAACGTTCCCACGTTTCACCTTTCCTTCCGTGTTTCCTTTTTCGAATACACAACTCCCAAACGACGCAACCGCCGCAATTCATCCCGTGCGTCCCGTCTGACAAGCAATATTCATTCGTTCACAAGGTCGTTAAGGGACTGGGTGTTTGACCGAAGGAAAAAGAAATACTCTCAACACACGAATGCCCCCGGGGGGAATCGAACCCCCGCCGCCCACTTCCAATTAGGCTGACACAATCTCTCTCAAGGTTGGTGGGTGATCACCTTGATCAACGAGGGCTTCCCATCTCTCAAATCAGGCTGAATAAACCCGCCTGCTCGGAAATTACTAGCTCAGTCTTCATTCATGCACCTCGACTTATATACGGAAGCTCTAATACTCAAAAGGCGTGTTTCTCTACACACTTCAGCTCTGGATACTAGCGAGCCAAAAGAAGAAAAAAGCAGTTCGCGAAGAGACCAGTGCCCTCGGGGGGAATCGAACCCCCGCTGCCCGCTCAAATTATTCACATTATGGAACTCAGTAATAGGTGGTGGGTGATCACCATGATCAACGAGGGCTTCCTACCCCTCGGATGTAGCTGGATAAACCCGCCTGCTTTCAACTTCCATCAGCTGCCCTCCCGCCAAGATACACGAGCATCCGCGGTCCATGCATCACAGCGAGGTGTCTCAGAAATTCACCCAGCTTATGTATAATTCTGGGATTGCAGCAAGATGTCGAGGCAACAAAAAAAAGGGACACAGGAATTCCACAGGCCCTCGCTGCACACTAACAATTAGTCAACAGCAGTCAAAGTATGGTTCGTGGGTGATCTCCACGATCAACGACGGCTTGCTATCCCTCGAACCTACCGCCTGCGTGGACTTACCAGGATGCATGGCATCGAATTATGCAGCCTTGAACAATTCACGCGCAGATTGCCTCGAGCAATTCAGGTCCAGACTCTCTAAAAGTCGAAAGAGTGTTTCTCCCACTACAGTTAAACCAGCCAGCGAATCTGGGTTGTCCAACAGGCGAGAGCAAAAAAAATTCCTCGCGGAAATGCAAGTAAGTGCCCTCGGGAGGAATCGAACCCCCGCTGCCCACTTCCATTGATGAGATCCTAAGGTCGGTGGGTGATCGCCATGATCAACGAGGGCTTCCTATCCCTCAAATCTGGCTGAATAAACCCGCCTGCTCGGAGATTACCAACTTAGTCTTCTTCCATGTATGCCGACGCACATACAGAAGTTCGAGCAATTCCACCCTGGACGGTCTGATACTTACAGCAAAAGGCGTGTTGCTCCTCGAACAATTCAACCAGCCTCTGATTCTGTGAACCTGGCAAGATGGCGAGGCAAAAAAGGGACTTCCTCCAAGATCAATGCCCTCGAGGGGAGTCGAACCCCCGCTGCCCACTCAAATTACTCACAGCACGATCATGGGTGGTGGGTGACCGCCATGATCAACGAGGGCTTCATATGCCTCGAATATAGCTGACTGAATTGGGCTTGTGTTCGATCTCCACCTCAGCGTCCAAAATGCATCCGGATGGCCGCGAGGCAAAATATCAATCGTGGCTAAGTGCCCTCGGGAGGAATCGAACCCCCTTTGCCCATTGCCAATTACGCCCAACGATTGGATGTTAAGGTCGGTGGGTGATCGCCATGATCAACGAGGGCTTTCTTGAACTCGAAACCTCGCTGAATACATGTGGCTACTTTAACGCTCCCGCTTTTCCAAAATGCATAGAGGGATCAACGACAAATCCCCCTCCTAAATTTCAACCATGTACGTGATGAATCTGATTTGGCAGCGCGAGTCCGAGGCGAAATCAATGCTCGACCGCATAGTGCCCTTGGAAGGAATCGAACCCAATCTGCCCAATGGTCGGTGTTCACTCCTTTCATTGATCTCCAATGATCGACGAGGCTTTCTATAACTACATCTCAACCAACGAGATACGACAGAAATTGATATCGTCCGGAGAATTGACCGACTGTATGTGAAGGGACGCGGGAGCAAAAAGACTTCGACGACTGCACCCAGTGCCCTCGGGGGAATCGAACCCACTCTGCCCACTTGACTCCTGGTCTTTGCGCATTGCTTTAAGTAGCGTGGGTGATCTCCATGATCAACGAGGGCTTGTTATGCCTACAATGTAGCCAAATTAACCTGCCGGCTTTCGTCCATGCACCTCAACTTACATAGAGGGGCTCTAATACTCAAAGGCATGTTTCTCCACACACTTCAACCACACTATGAATCTAGATAATCCAGGGAGCCCAACAAACAGAACTCGTCGCGCGACAGTACCCTCGGGGGAATCGAACCCCACTGTCCACTTACAGCTGCCACACGATTTCGTTCTAGGGTCGGTGGGCGATCTCCATGATCAACGAGGACTTCCTATACCGGCAACATAGCTGAATAAAACCCGCTCGCCATCCCAAGGTTACCGTGTTCTCGGAAAGCTACCGATGATCCGCGGTTAGGGGTAATTCAGTGGTCTGCATTACGAGTCATCAACGAAGGCACCCACCTACAGTAAGGATTAGAGCAGTTTACGAATTTCGATAATCCAGCGAGGCAAAAAGAAATACAAGGAATCCATACTGTCATTTGCATAAGTCCGTGAAAACACGAAAAAAATCGCGCAGTCACGTGTTAATTTACACAAGTCTCACTATGCTTCAGGGATGCTTACAGCTCTTTGTGGAACTTATGTAAGACATAGAGGGTGAGTCTTTTTGTCATGTCAGGACATCAATATATCCCTTCCGGCCGTCCATCAGCTATATTGTTTACAGCTAGTTGCGGAACTTAGGGCGCGGCCCATTTTTTTTTTTTTTTGGATGTTTCGGATATTTCAGCTCTACTGAGCTCAGTTCTTCACCGATTCCCTTGAAACTATGCTCAATAGATTTGCCTTGCGATTCCGGAGGGAGTGACGTTCGAAAATACGTTAGAAGCGTGGGAATTGCCTTTTTCGGCAAATTGTGAGGCATCTTCTCCTATCAGCTCTAGCATTAAATATACTGATCCGATTGACTTAGTTTTTGGATATATCATACCTATATGCATTACCTAGGATGTGTCGTGCCCAGATCGTCAAAATACCTCATTATTCAAAAGCCTTACTGTATTCAATTTCAATCAGTTTTAAGTCCCATGCCAGATGTGAACAAAACATTTTAATCCTTATCTGGGCACGACACATCCTAGGTAATGCATATAAGTATGATATATCCAAAAACTAAGTCAATCGGATCAGTATATCTAATGCTAGAGCTGATAGGAGAAGATGCCTCACAATTTGCCGAAAAAGGCAATTCCCACGCTTCTAACGTATTTTCGAACGTCACTCCCTCCGGAATCGCAAGGCAAATCTATTGATCATAGTTTCAAGGGAATCGGTGAAGAACTGAGCTCAGTAGAGCTGAAATATCCGAAACATCTATAAAAATAAAAAAAATGGGCCGCGCCCTAAGTTCCGCAACTAGCTGTAATGACACGTGTTCCGGCATGTTGATTTGGGACATCGATCGATGTTCGAAGAACCTTGCGACCTGTAAACAATGCGTTATATCTGTAATAGTTATTTTGGAAATCTCCTCGGGAGTTCCTCTTCCTGCACGTGACTGCACGATTTTTTTTCGTGTTTTCACGGACTTATGCAAATGACAGTAATGCCCTCGGGGGGAATCGAACCCCACTGCCCACTTGTTAGGAAATTCGGTCATTAGTAGCGTGGGTGATCGCCATGATCAGCGAGGGCTTCCTAGGCCTCGAACCTACTTGAGCTGAATAAACCTGTCTCATTTCAAGCTCCAGATCAACCTCCCCACAGTAGCCACGCACCCACGAATTTACAACGTGCGCGGTAGCCATTTTCTGTTCGCGCCTCCGGCGACCGTCGAGCAATTCAGGTGCAGACACTCGAATAGTCAAAAGGCGTGTTTCTCCGTCTAAAATTCAACAAATCTGGATACTAGCGAGGCATATAAAAAATTCGTCTCGGCGTGTGAAGTGCCCTCGGGGGAATCGAACCCCCACTGCCCACTGTGGACAATTGGCGTGGGTCAAACTGCTGTAGGTGATCACCATGATCAACGAGGGCTTTCTATCCCACAAATCTAGCTGAATAAACTCGCCGCCATGCCAAGGTTACCGCATATCACAAACCGATTGAGGTCCTCGAGTCGTAGGAGTAATTTTAGGGCTCCTCATTCCGAGTCATGACCGAGAGCTCTTTCCAAAAATGCAGTGCCCTCGGGAGGAATCGAACCTCCACTGCCCACTTACAATTAGGCCACACGATTTCGTTCTAAGGTCGGTGAGTGATCTCCATGATCAACGAGGGCTTCGTATCCCTCAAACCTGGCTCAATAACCTTGCGTGCATCCAATATTTGACTCAGTCCTCCTCCACCTCACTGGCAGATGTTCCGCTTTATACGGTCTGATACTCAGAAGGCATGTTTCTCCCCCCACACTTACATAACTAAGCTCGAGCTATTCAGGCCCAGACTATCTAGCAATCCAAAACGTCTTTCTCCTCCTAATAGTCAACTCGCTTGAGAATCTGGATAATCCAGCGAGCCAGCAAAAAAAAAAGACTTCGGAATCCGAAGTGCCCTCGGGGGGAGTCGAACCCCCGCTGCCCACTAACAATCCTTAATGAAGTTACTATACTGTGCGGGTAGTCGCCATGATCGACGAGGGCTTCATGTCAAGTTCAACCCAAGCTGAATAAGCCTGCGTGCTTTGAAGTTCCAAGGACGCACATTGTCTTACAGCAGCTTGAGCAATTCACGCGCAAATTGCCTCGAGCAGTTCAGGGCCAGATCCTCCAAATGTTCAAAGAGTGTTCCTCCCACTACAGGTGAGCTAATTTGCAAATCTGGATAATCCAACGAGCCAGGGAAAAAAACACGCCTCGGGGACACTCAGTGCCTTCGGGGGGAATCGAACCCCCGCCGCCCACTTGCACTTGGCCCGCTCTAAGGTCGGTGGGTGATCTCCATGATCAACGAGGGCTTCCTATACCTCGACTCTAAGTAAATAAACCTGCCTGCTTCCAAGCACCAACTCAGTCTCCCTCCTTCCAGATACGCGAGCATCTGCGGTCCGTTAATCACAGCGAGCTGTCAGTGTCTCTCCAAAAATTCAACCAGCCTCTGATTCTGTGAACCTGGCAAGATGGCAAGGCCAAAATTCAAAGAAGAAGTGAAAAACCACTAGTGCCCTCGGGGGGAATCGAACCCCCGCTGCTCATTTAACTGATCGCCAGGCCTCTTGTTGAATGAGGGTGGGTGATCATCATGATCAACGAGGGCTTGCTATCCCTCGATCCTACCTAAATAAACTCGCCTGCTGTCAACTTCTCCTAACTCCGCCTGCGCCATTGGCAAGAACAGAGCTTCGCTGATCAACCCGACCCTCGTCCTGAAACTCAACTAGCGGATGATTCTGTGATCTGCCACGCTAGGGAGGCCAAAAGGAGGAAGCCACAACCAACCAGTGCCCTCAGAGGGATTCCAACCCCACCTGCCTACTTAACTCTTGATCTCTGGGGG